AAATTATTGATTTATGAATAGTACTTGGAAGATAATAAAACTTTGAAATTTTTTTTGAGTAGCTAATATATATACGCACGCAAATATAAATGCTCTAATTGATTATGATTATCTTTTAAATTATTATATAGATTCATCTCAATACTGCGCATCCTAATAGTTTCGGAGTCTACTCTTATTACAAGTAAATCTTTTAGATATGTAAATTGTTGATAATATCATTAACTCCTATATATTTTGAAGATTATAATGTTGTGTATGTGCGCACTTAAATGAACTAGCTTATTCAACTTGTACTCTCAATAAAATTATAGGTTGGTTCACTCAATTTGCAACTTGAACTTTAAGCTAGATTAGACCTATATAACTATGATTTATTTCAAAATGGATAAGAAAAATGGTGAAGAGATCTCAGAAGAATTAAAAGAAAGGTCTTGTTAAAGTTAGCGGTGGGCAAAAAAACTAAAAAATTGATTAAACCGAGACAAAAATAATAATTAAAAAAGCCAAACAGTGAAAAAAATCGATTAAATGAATTAAAATTTTAAAAAACCCGACCAGTTTGGTTTTGTTTCGGTTTTATAAGCCTAAAATCAAAAAAACCGAACCCAAACTGAAAAAACAAGCAAATCCAGAAAAAACCAAGCTAAGCCGGTTTAAACTAGTCTTTGTCATAAGAAATTAAACCGAGCCGAAACTGGTCAGTTTGAATCAGTTTTGGTTTTTTTTTAAATTTTAATTTTGTTACTTTTTTATAAAAACTAAACCAAATCAAAATGATCACCCTTAATTGAAGTTAGATTCCACTATTTAGTTATTATTGGTTGATTTCATGTGTCGTCGATGAGAGTATTTCAGTAAAGTTATTTAACTAGTTAAGCTTGGTGAGTTAACACACTTGCCTGCTAACTTAGCCTCATTTTAAATGAAATCAGGTGAGAGTTTACTTTGTAAATCTCTAGTCTAAAAATTGATAAATTAGTGTTAAATAAAGTAATTTTTAATTGAGAAATAATAAATTACCTAACTTAGATTGACTAAATTTAATCTACATGTTTTTGGAAAATGTAGGAATGAGAATTCCAAATTTGTCGTGGTTAAGATAATCATTGACTAAATTAGGTTGATTGAGATATTTTAATGATGTTAGAATTGTTTGGGTGCTGTGTTGAGCATTTTAATAAGAATTGCTAAGAATTTAATTATTTTTGTTATGTATTGAAATATTTGAATTGTTTGAATATAATATTTGTTTTGGTTTTTGTGGTTGAGATTGTGGTTGAGTACAATACATTTATGCACAAAACTCAACAATAAAAACTAATATTTCATGTTTTTTATAGTTTTTTTTTGTGAATCCTATATACAAACCACAACTTCCATCTCTAAAACAAAGACAATGTAAAACTAGAGAAAATTCGTATTGCCATTATCTTTTTAATTTGTAAGATTTGTTTTTCATTATTTTAATAAACTTGAAAAAAATAAATTATTTTTCAATTCATTTTTCATAACATAACCAAACACTGAAAAGTGTTTTCTAGTTCATTTTTCATAATACTATCAAACATCAGAAAATAATTCACTTTCCAGGAATTCACTTTAAAAAAAAAAAACAATTTTCCTGCAAATAAACAAAGCCTTAATTGATTCAACTTTTGGTGCACAAAAACACTACCCACCCTTTTCAAAATTTTCTCCAAATCTTCACGCAAACTAAATATTATTCTTTGATAATTAAATGAATTATATGATAATGCATTAATGAAATAATTAAAATAACAATGAGTTGTTTTGCTGATTTAATAAGTAGAGTGATTTTGTGATGGTGTTGTTGATGAAATAATTAAATTGATGACAATTTGATTTTGTTGATATAGAATTAAATTGATGATGTGATGATATTATTGATGCAGTCATTTAATTGTTAACGAAATAAACCTGCAGGAGTAGGAAAGGCTACAAGAAACACTTAGTAGACAGGTTTAGCGAGCAGAACGCAAATATTGTGTAGGTTCATCTAAATACTGTGCATCCTAATAGTTTCAGAGTCTACTCTTATTACAAGTAAATCTTTTGGATATGTAAATTGTTGATAATACAATTAACTCGTGTATATTTTGAAGATTATAATGTTGTGTCTGTACAAACTTAAATGGGCTAGCTTATTGAAGTTAATAAAATAATAGGTTGATTTGCCCAACTTGCGACTTGAACCTTAAGCTAGATCAAACGTATATAACTATGATTTATTTTAAAATGGATAAGAAAAATGGTGAAGCGATCTTGGAAGAATTAAAAGAAAGGTCTTGTTGAAGTTAGGGGTGGGCAAAAAAACTAAAAATCTGATTAAACCGAGAAAAAATAATAATTAAAAAAACCAAACAATGAAAAAATTTGATTAAACTAATTAAAATTTTTAAAAAACTGACCAGTTTTGTTTTGTTTCGGTTTTATAAGCCTAAAACCAAAAAAACCGAACCCAAACTGAAAAAACAAGTAAATCTGGAAAAATCGAGTTAAGTTGGTTTAAACTAGTTTTTGTCCTAAGAAACTAAACCGAACTGAAATTGGTCGATTTGAATCAGTTTTGATTTTTTTAAAATTTTAATTTTGTTATTTTTTTTATAAAAAACAAACCAAATCAAAATGATCACCCCTAATTGAAGTTAGATTCCACTATTTAGTTATTATTAGTTGATTTTATATGTCGTCGATAGGAGTATTTCAGTAAGGTTATCTAACTAGTTGAGCTTGGTGAGTTAACATGTTTGCCTGATAACTTGGCCTCGTTTTAAATGAAATTGGGTGAGAGTTTATTTTGTAAATCTCTAGTCTAAAAATTAATAAGTTAGTGTTAAATAAAGTTATTTTTAATTAAGAAATGATAAATTACCTAATTTAAGTCGACTAAATTAGTTTACATGTTTTTGGAAAATGTAGGAACTAGAAATTCCAAGTTTGTCGTGGTTAAGATGGTTATTGACTAAATTAGGTTGATTGAGATATTTTAATGGTGTCAGAATTGTTTTGGGTGTTGTGTTGAGCATTTTAATCAGAATTGCAAAGAATTTAATTATTTTTGTTATGTATTGAAATATTTGATTTTTTTTAACGAGGCTAAAACTAGAGAAAATTGGTACTGTGATTATATATTAAAATTGTTTTAGGTGTTTAAGTGGTATCGGGTAGGATAAGGCTTGGTGATGAATGATGTCGTTAGAATTTTTATAAGAAATCTCTTGTGGAGGCAATATGTGAGAATATTGAAAATGTGAGGGATTAAAAAGGGCTTTACAGTTAGTTTGGTATATGCCAAGGTAGATTTCTAAAGGGTTGCTAATTTTAATAATATGTTGGAAAATATTTAATTGATGATTTTCTAGATTAATTTAAATTAAATTGGTTTAATCCATGTCTAAATGATGACGTATGTCATGACTCCTAAATGCATAAAATTATTGAGGAGAAATATACTTTTTAAATAATGCATTTTTTTATTATTTTAACAAAAACATGTTTTTTAAACATAAACACCATATTTAAGTAAAAATAACAATAGGTTTTTTCAAAATAAAATAGTATTTAAATATTTATACTGGGGAATTTTTTTAATAAATATATTTTTTTGGCATATTAGGTATATATTTTAAAAAAACTCTTTAACGGTTTTTATCGATTCATGATAGAAATATATAAAAAAATCCCATAAAATAATTATTATCAGCTATATAATTGTTAACAAAAACTCATAAAATTATTTAATAACAATGACAAAATTCAATAATAACTTAAATAAAATGGTAAGTTTTTTTTGTTTTTTCCTAACGCATTTCAACCAAATATTAAAAAAAAATGAAAACAAAAATAGAAAGGGGAAACGCGGGACCTCACAGTTCACAGGGAAACAACGATCCTTTAAGGTTTTTGTTAATAATTAATCATTTTCAATTCTTTCATTATGTAAATTTCAGCTCTCCCTCACCCCAGGCACGCTGCAGACATCCCGCCTCTCTCACCACCTACGGCGATCTCTCCCATAACAGTCACTGCACAGCCTCCTCCCTCTTCATGCCGACAACAAGAAACCGACCACCCACCAACACAACCCCTCCAAAAATACCATAGATCAGACTTGACAGCAACCCGAAGCCTCCCTCTCCAGCGCCCTCACCAACAGCCACTGGCGAACCATAGTCTTCATTCTGGTTTTGATTGTTTAAAATTAGTCTTCTTCATTTTTATCGTGCTCGATCCACTAATTGTTGTTTATTATGGTTATTTATTTGTAGCTTTTACTCCTTTCCCAGCCAAATTGTCTCACTTTTTTCTCTTCTTTGGATTCTATTATTTAAAAATAGAGTTTCCCTTTCCTTTATATCGTGCTGATTGATTTTTTATCTTCTGTTTTTCAATTTGTTCATTTAAAAGTGAGGTTGTCAATTATTATAATAATAAATTTTAATTCCAGAATATGTTAGTGTAGTGTGTATATATAAACTAAAATGGAAGAGGGTAAAAATAGGGCAAATTATTATAGATCATGAAATTGAATTGAAGCAGTGAATTTAGTATAGTTATGATGCCTGGTAGATGTAAATATATTTTTTTAATTAGAAATATATTAAAATAATTTTTTATTTTTACTTTAAAATGATAAAAAAAAAACGAAAACAATTTAAATAACAGATTAAATCATATTACCAAACAATACAATTTAAAGTAGTCTGCATGGGCCAATCCCCAGCCCTTTTAATTTTATGTAATATAATTTGTTTAGTTTCAAATAAGTTATCCTTTTAACCTGATTTTCCTATTAAATAAATTACTGCAAATATGTTAATAAATATTGATTAATCAAGGCAGAAAAAGGAATTGATAAATAATGGATAGGAAAGTCAACAACATATAATAAACTACAACTTTTATGTTAACGGTAGCAAGAGAGACGTGAGGTGGTGAAGATAAAAAAGAGTAACAAGAACTCGGGAGCTTCTACATACTTTAAATAGGCATTTTGGATTATTTTCTTTTTCTTGAAGCAAGTATTCAAACAATATATTACAGATAACGTTACCAAGTTGCGCTCATACTAGTAAAAATAGCACTTGTAATTTCAATCACACCACGCAATTATATATATATATAGACAACAGTCTTCCATCAACCGTACAAATGATTCTCTTGGATATAGACGTCGACCAGTGAGAAACACTGATTCTCTTCAATGGCTCGGTATGGTTACACTGGCAACTCATTTGGCTCTTGGGCTTGGCTGTGGCCGCGGCGTTGACTAAGGCGAACTGCATTATACAGTGATTCACACAATTGTGAAAATTCCTCACGTAAAGTATATGTTACCCATATGAAGAACATCACACATGCGGAAAGCAGAAACCACCAAATTTTTGGGACGCAGATTATGAGTAGCAGAGCAATGGCGAGAGCTCTGGCCAGAAGACTTGCGCCGGCAGCAATTGAGTGGAAGCGACCAGCTGCAAGTTTAACTTCCCATGCACTACTTACAATATGGAGGAGCACAGCAACAACGCACATGGTTATGATAGCATCGTGTGTCCTAGATGGAGAGAGAGTTTCAGATTTCAATTGGATAATGGCAGCCAGTGCTCCAATAGCAGAGAAAAACCAACCATGTCTGTCCATTCCCCTATCAAATTAAAAACAAAAACTGCTTTAGACCACAGAAACAATTAATGCATGTATAAAGTTAAATAAAAGAGTGACCAGCATGAAAATAAATGCTGCAACTACTTCAGTGTTTGTTTTGAGGAGAAGCGAAGGGAGGAAGTGGGGAAGGGAGGGGCGGGACTGGAACCCTTCACCATGCATGCCACATGACCCGTGCCAAACAAAAGCCCATAAACCAGCTTAAGTCGATTCAAAGAATGAAAGCCACTTACTCTGCTTTTATCCCATATGCCACTGCAACTTCATGCAGTTGCAGAGCATGCATGAAGCATCTACCATGCCATAGTACTGCCAAACTCACATTCGCATCTACCCAAATGTAAAATTTGGGCATTATTATTTCAAGTAAAAGATCAAAATAATCTTACAAGAGATCCATGTAGCAGCTGCAAGGGTCGAAGAGAGGAGCTGTGGTTTGCCAAAACTCATTGATCATGACACAAGAACCAGAAATGAGATGGGTTTGTGAAAGCACCTAATGGCAATGGGTTGTTTAAGGGTAAAATTCTTACCGTTTGTAAGTCATTTAAGGAATTCTTGACCAAATTGCAACCTATATGGATGTTAGTGAATATTTCATCCTTGAACATAACTCCACAGATATTATGAATTATGTTGCCAGCCACATTGCAAACGTGCCTTATAATTCTAAGAAGACAGCAACCAGATATGCAGTGTTTTGTCACAAGAATTTCCAGCTCCAAGGAGGAGATGCTAAGATTCATATGACAGGTGCTGAGTCAGGAATGGAGGATAACACTGGACCAGAATCAATGACAAGGACAGGGTTGCAGGAGATGCTAAGATTCATATGACAGGTGCCGAGTCAGGAATGGAGGGTTACATCAATGACATTGGACAAGCATCAATAACAAGGATCAAAGGGGTTACATCATAGTCATACTTGTCATAGCAGTTCTTATAAAATGTTTGTTAAGAGGGTCAGTAGTTTGTTTGGGTAGCAGGGATAAACAGTTAGTTCAAGTGGGTGAACATGTGTTTGTGTTAGTGCTTGAGATTGTGGTAGAGGTTGCTATTCAAAACTTTATGCTTGGAAACGTATTAAATAATGTTTATTTTATATTTTTTAAAATTTATTTTTAACATCAGCACATTAAAATAACTCAAAAATACTAAAAAAATTAATTTGAAAATTTCAAATTTTAACAAAAAGCAGGTTTAACCTCAATGCCAAAAAGACAGGAAGCAAGGATAAAATTCTTTTCATTCTGGAGCATTATGAGTTCTTTCTGAATTCTTTGTAATTATTCTATTTCTTTTAAAAAAGCCTTTTTAGATCTCATCTTTCTTTCTCTCATTTTTTTCTTCAAACACTTCACCTACCTCACGTATTCCATCAAATACTAAATTGTATCAATCCTTCTCTGCTCTTCTATCTCTGGATAGTTCAAATAATGAACTTAATTCTAGATTTTCAATTGTATTATTCACTCTATTTAGAAAGTAATAGCAAAAATCACTCTTGTAAACCTTTGAGAGCTAGATATAAACTCTTGGAATTAGTGAGGTATTGTCACCAATAAATAATTCTTGAGGAGGGCATATCAGGAGATAAACAGTTAGTTTGGGTAGAGTTATAATCAGGAGATAAACAGTTAGTTCATGTGGGTGAACTTGTGTTTGTGTAAATAGAAAGCAAAAATAAAATTCTTGTCATTTTGGAGCATTATGATTTCTTACTTAATTCTATGTAATTGTTCTATTTCTTTAATAAAGCTTCTTTTTTATATTTCTTTCCTGCTCTTTCAGTCTTTTCTTCAAACACTCCACCAACCCCACCAAAAAACCTAACATATTCCATCAGACTTGATTTCCAAACTATATAGCAAAATTTCTGTTCAGGGAAGCTTCCCAACTGAATAATTTAGAGAGGGATACCTATAAGAAATCTTTAAAATATCAAATAAGAAAAAAAAATCAAACTAATAATAATAATAAAACCTCTTGGTAAACAAACATAGAAGCTTCCCATCTGATCGGAAAGAAACAGAGCAGTTCAGGTTCTGGATAGTTCAAATAATGAACTTAATTAACAAAATCTAGATTCTTTTGAGCTCTAAGGGATGGAAATCTGCTATTGACACATATATCTGCCAGACAGACTACAAACCAAACCAGATCCCAAACAATTTACATATTAATTAAGCTTCTTGATTGCAAAATAGAAAAACAAAAAAAGTTACTTATTTCTATGCAATCGAGACTCTCTTCAGACACAGCAATGAGGTCCTCCCTCTACTCTGTATGTTTATTTATTTTATTAGATTTGATCAAGACTTTAATCTCTTGTTTGAATTGCGACTTTGCAAAGGCAATGGGCTGTTTGAAATGGGCTTGTCAGAGAAAGTTGTGATGCATTTTTTGGGCTTCTAAATTTTGTTCAAGGTTTTAATCTCCTCTTCCCGTAACTATTCTTTTTGGTAGCATTCTATTAGAAACAATTGGCTATATTAAAATTTAGTAGTTATTGAACTTTAAGAATAGACAGTGAGAATCTTGCCCCAAAAAAATAAATAAATTCAAGGTTGAGAGAGAGGCGGACCAAAATCCTAAAAGGTGTCTGTTTAAAAAAGTTGAAATAATTAGGCAAAGGCTTACTGGAAAGAAGAACAATTATATTGAAGATTTATTAAGGATTATGAATGAGACAACTATCTACCAGGAGAGATCATGATTTGTGATGAGAATTTGAAAAGAACAACAAACAGATAAAGGATTAGAAGATTGCCACGTTTTCCAATAAAAAGATATATGGATTTGAAAGAAAATAAAATCCACTGATTACCTTGCATCTTTTAGATCAGGCAATGGATAGGGAATGGTGATTGAAAGCATTTTGTCCAGTAACTGCCCAAGCAAAAGCGCAGAGTTTCTGAACCACTGGTCCTAAAGAAAACTTAGCTTCAAGAAGCTTCTTTGCCAAATATGGCCAAAAATCAGTAAACTATTGGAAATATGTTTTTCTCTTTTTTTTTTCAAATATGGCAAAAAATTAGAGCACATAATGATAAATTTCATTTTCATTAAATTAGAACACAAATTTGATAAATCAATTTAAATAAAGTGAATTAGAGGACATAATGATTTATATCAAAGCACACACACAAAAAAAAATCAAGGTTTTACCTGATAAAGGAGAGATCATAATTTGTGATGAGAATCTCATTTTAACCTGCTGCTTCTTTTTTTTTAAATAAGTTCTGCATAAAAGAACCAAAAAGATATGAATAGAAATGAATTTGAAAAGAACAATAAAGAGATAAAGGATTTTAAGTTCGCAATTTTCTCTAGATAAATGAATTTGGAAAAACAAAATCCACCGATGACCTTGAATCTTTAGATCTGGCAATGGATAGGGGAAGGTGATTTCCTGGCACAAGGACACGCTATAGCACAGAGTTTCCACCCTCATAGTATCTTTAGCCATCATCAATCATCTTCTCCAGCATCCCAATAAATTCAGAACAAAGAGACTCCATTAGTCAAATCTTTTATCTTCATCAAGTTTATGAAATTTATGCATGTGCCAATTCAAAAGCTGAAAGACATAAAGGAGATTGGAGATCACAATCCACATATATCTAACAAAATATCTGAACAGACAGCCAAAAGGGCTGTATTTTTTTAGGAGAAACGAGCCAAAGTTGAATTTCCAATACCTCTCTAGAACAAAAACATAATTATTCAATGGCTGGTGTCAGAATGAAAACCACTTATTCTGGTTTTATCCCATATGCCACTGAAACTTAATGCAGTTGCAGAGCATGCATGAAGCATCAACCATGCCATAGTAATGCCAAACTCACATTCGCATCTACCCAAATGTAAAATTTGGGCATTAAGGTTTTAATCTCCTCTTCCCGTAACTATTCTTTTTGGTAGCATTCTATTAGAAACAATTAGCTATATTAAAATTTAATAGTTATTGAACTTTAAGAATAGACAGTGAGAATCTTGCCCCAGAAAAATAAATAAATTGAAGGTTGAGAGAGAGGCGGACCAAAATCCTAAAAGGTGTCTGTTTAAAAAAGTTGAAATAATTAGGCAAAGGCTTACTGGAAAGAAGAACAAGTATATTGAAGATTTATTAAGGACTATGAGCGAGACAACTATCCACCAGGAGAGATCATGATTTGTGATGAGCATTTGAAAAGAACAACAAATAGATAAAGGATTATAAGATTGCTACGTTTTCCAATAAAAAGATATATGAATTTGAAAGAAAATAACATCCACTGATTACCTTGCATCTTTTAGATCAGGCAATGGATAGGGAATGGTGATTGAAAGCATTTTGTCCAGTAACTGTCCAAGCAAAAGCGCAGAGTTTCTGAACCACTGGTCCTAAAGAAAATTTATCTTCAAGAAGCTTCCTTGCAGATTCATCAACATGAGGTTGCAGTATTATTCAGAAGTTCCTGTCACAAGGACATGCTATGGTACAGAGTTTCCACCCACCTGGTATCTTTAGCCATCATCAAATGTTTTATCCACCATCTTTATAAATTCAAGAGAAAAAGAAAAAAGAAAAAAGAATCAATTAGTCAAAACTTCATCTGTCAAATTCATGAATTTTATGCCTGTGCTGATTCAAAAGCTGAAGATCAACAAAGAGATTGGAGATCACAATTCCAAAGATCTAACAACTTATCTGAATTGACATCCAAAAGGCTGTATTTTTTTTTTCAGCACAAACAGAAGAACTCGAGAAAGTCAACTAAAAAATCAAATCATTAAGAGGATAAACATACTCATATGTATCTTGCCAATAACTCCCATGAAAATTACAAATCTAGAACAAGTCCTCCTTTGGGGTGTGAGTCTGAGCGGTAGATGAGAAAGCAGGAAAAAGACCTCCTGGAGTTCTGAGGCCATGATGATCCATAAAAAAACAGATAAAGATAAACATGTATTATGGTGTGAGATGAGAGAGACGAAAACATTGAGAGAACCAAATATGTATTATTGTTTTTGCCAATAACTCCCATGAAAATAACAAATCTAGAACCTTTGTGGTGTGAGATGAGAGACGCGAAAATATCACCCTTTACAAGGTGAGAGTTGTTATCTGAGATTAAAAATAAAAAACCCAGACTAGGCGAGGGAGAAGAGGACTTTTGTCAGTTTTTTATCAACTGAATTTCTCAACAACACATCAAATAATCAAATTAATTCATGGCATCTCCTCTCTTTTTTCATCGAGCCAGGGCGATCTGTTACAGATCCAAACAGACCAGAAAACCAAACACCCAACAACAAACTAAATCAATCAAAAGGATAACCACCACACCTTCAACCTGGAATATAGAGAAAATTTCGAACAGCACATCAAATAAACAGCAGATTTAAAACAGGAGAAGAAACCCTTCGTGCATCGGGGTGTGACTTCGACTTCGACTTCGGAGAGTCGAAAAACAGGTAAATCACAAAAGGACTTCGACTCGCAATACAAATACGACCAAAACACATAAGGATCTTAGCGAGAGCTGCCGGGACCACCACGCTCGTTTTTTAACTTTGAAAGCGACGCTAACGCCTAATAAAGTGATTAACTTTGAAAGTGACAACAATACCTACGTCATTCATTTTATTTTATTTGAAAATATATTAAAATAATATTTTTTTTATTTTTTAAAATTAGTTTTTAATAAAAATAATTTAAAAATATTAGTTTAAAATAAAAAATAAAAAATAAAAAATAATTTTTTTTTGTTTTTCAGCACAAACAGAAAAACTCCAGAAAATCAACGAAAAAAATCAAATCATTAAGAGGATAAACATAGCCATATGTATCTTGCCAATAACTCCCATGAGAATTACAAATCTAGAACAAGTCCTCCTTTGGGGTGCGAGTCTGAGCAGTAAATGAGAAAGAAGAAAAAAGAACTCCTGGAGTTCTGAGGCCATGATAATCTGAGAGTCTGAGCAGTAAATGAGAAAGAAGAAAAAAGAACTCCTGGAGTTCTGAGGCCATGATAATCTGCGAGTCTGAGCAGTAAATGAGAAAGAAGAAAAAAGAACTCCTGGAGTTCTGAGGCCATGATAATCTGAGAGTCTGAGCAGTAAATGAGAAAGAAGAAAAAAGAACTCCTGGAGTTCTGAGGCCATGATAATCGATTAAAAATAAGAGACAAAGACCGTCAGTGACTGGAGCATAGAGATAACCAAACATGTGTAGCAGATCTGTTACAGATCCAAACAAACAAGAAAACCAAACTCCCGATAACAAATTAAATCAATCAAAAGGATAACCACCCAAACTTCAACCTGGAAAATAGAGAAACTTCGTCACAGCACATCAAATAAACAACTGAATCCATGGCATCTCTTCTTTTTTTCTTCCAGCTAGTGCGTTCAAGTCCTCTTCTGTGTTGTGATATTGGAGAGACGACAATAAAACCTTAACGCAGCCAAAAGCTAGGGGCCCAGCCATCTTGCTGGTTGTCTGGGTCCTATAAAAAAAGGGAAGAAGCCAAAAACCCCCTCCAAAAACTAAAAATTAAAAAAGTTAGGGTGTTTTGAATTGTAATTTTACTGGTAGTCTGGGTAAAAAAAAAACAAACTAAAACCTCCTCCAAAAACTAAAAATTTTAAAAGTTAGGCTGTGCTTTGAATTGTAATTTTTATTATGGAGGGACTCTCTAATGCCAAAATCATCTGGTCTGGGCCCCATAAAAAAACAAAAAAGTCTGGGTCCCAGAAAAAAAAGGAAAAAAGCCAAGAAAAAAGATCTATTGACAAAAAAAAAAAACACCTCCAGGATATTTATTTTTGGTGATAGTGAATGTTATTGGAGAAGTAATGGTGGGTTTCCAGAGATTTGCTGTTTTTGCTTTAATGTCTTTAAACCGAACGTTGTCAATATATGGTTAAAGGAGCTAGGAGTATGGTAATGTTGAATCTTGGACCAAGATGGTCGAGACAAAAAAACACATTGAGCTTGAGTGATTAGCTTGATCTTGAAGAGATACAACCGTCACAGAATGGAGATATTTTATTGCCTGATCTCTCGAATTTGGTTTTGCATAATTGTAGAGCAAAATGTGACGGAAAAATGGACTCTCGAATGCGGTCATAATATTCATCAACTTGCTCTCGATCCAACCAAGTTTCTCTTCGCTCAAGGATGTGGTTAGAGATGGCTTAAAAGGTTTTATATGCAGGAACAAGATAGCTAGATGCCAAAATGTGGTCGGGTTAAAGCTACAAGGAAGGTGTCTTGGATGTTAGTGTCTATCTAACTTATAACTCTAATTTTTTTATTTGTTTTAGTCATATTTTGTGGGATGATCATGGGTCTTAGGTTTACTTATTAAAGTCATATTATGTGTTGTTACTCTTTTTTTTTTTGCCATACATGTTAATGGAGATTTTTTTATTATTAACTAGATTGTTACCAGTTTCTGTTCTAAAAAATATATTTTTTTTCACTTTAACTCCTACATTAAAGTTGTAGTCCTAAATGCGTAGATGATTTTGAGCTTTTGAATCGCTTGATTTCGATATCAGAAACTCAAGATATTCCTCTTTCAATATCTAACATGAAGGTAGAGAATTCTACCGCAAGAAAGATAGTGACCCGAGTCTGCACTAAAAAATTTCTATTTTTGGCTTAGTTTTTGTGATTTTTGTCTTAGTCCATACTCTTAGTCATATCAGGATTCCTGACATTCATCAGTTTTTGAGTTAGACTTGGAAATCTCTTTTGACCAACTAAATTACTGCCAGTTTTTATTCTATAAAATGATTTTTTCTCACTTTGTCTCCTACATCAAAGTTGTAGTCCTAGACGCGTAGATGATTTTGGGCTTTTGAATCCCTTGATTTCGATATCAGAAGCTCAAGATATTCCTATTTGAATATCTAACGTGAAGGTAGAGAATTCTACTGCGAGAAGGATATTGACCCGAGTCTGCACTTCGTTCAAATTATATTTTTGGCTTAGTTTTTTGTGATTTTTGTACTTAGTTCATACTCGCAGTCATTTCAAGATTCCCGACATTCGTCAGTTTTTGAGTTAGACCCGGAAATCCCCTTTGACAACCTAGATTACTGTTAGTTTCTGTTCTATAAAATGATTTTTTCTCACTTCGACTCCTTCATCAAAGTTGTAGTCCTGGACAGGTGAATGATTTTGGGGAATCCCTTGATTTTGATATCAGAAGCTCAAGATATTCCTGCTTGAATATCTAACGTGAAGGTAGAGAATTCTTCTGCGAGAAGGATATTGACCTGAGTCTGTACTAAAAAAATTATATTTTTGGCTTAGTTTTTTGTGATTTTTGTACTAAGTTCATACTCGCAGTCATTTCAAGATTCCCGACATTCGTCAGTTTTTGAATTAGACCCGGAAATCCCTTTTGACCAACTAGATTGCTGTCAATTTCTGTTCTATAAAATGATTTTTTCTCACTTCGACTCCTTCATCAAAGTTGTAGTCCTAGACGGGTAGATGATTTTGGGGAATCCCTTGATTTCTATATCAGAAGCTCAAGATATTCCTCTTTGAATATCTAACGTGAAGACAGAGAATTATGCCGCGAGAAGGATAGTGACCCGAGTCTGCACAAAAAAATTTCTATTTTTGGCATAGTTTTTGTGATTTTTGGCATTCGTCAGTTTTTGAGTTAGATCTCGAAATCCCTTTTGACCAACTAGATTACTGTTAGTTTCTGTTTTATAAAATGATTTTTTATCACTTCGAGTCCTTTGTCAAAGTTGTAGTCCTAGATACATAGATGATTTTGGGCTTTTGAATCGCTTGATTTTGATATCAAAAGCTCAAGATATTCCTGTTTGAATATCTAACGTGAAGGTAGAGAATTCTATTGCGAGAAGGATATTGACCCGAGTCTGCACTAAAAGATTTATTTTTTTGGCTCAGTTTTTGTGATTTTTGTTCTTACTTCATACTCCCAGTCATGTCAGGATTCTCGACATTCGTCACTTTTTGAGTTAGACCCGAAAATTCCTTTTGACAACCTAGATTACTGCCAGTTTCTATTCTATAAAATGATTTTTTCTCACTTCGACTCCTTCAACAAAGTTGTAGTCCTAGATGTGTAGATGATTTTGGGCTTTTGAATCGCTTAATTTCGATATCAGAAGCTCAAGATATTCCTCTTTGAATATCTAACATGAAGGTAGAGAATTCTGCCGTGAGAAGGATATTGACCCGATTCTACACTAAAAATTTCCATTTTTGGCTTAGTTTTTGTGATTTTTGTTCTTAGTTCATACTCTCAGTCATGTCAGGATTCCTGACATTCATCAGTTTTTGAGTTAGACCTGGAAATCCCTTTTGACAAAATAGATTACTCCTAGTTTCTGTTCTATAAAATGATTTTTTCCCACTTCAACTCCTTCATCAAAGTTGTAGTCCAAAATGCGTAGATATTTTGGGCTTTTGAATCGCTTGATTTCGATATCAGAAGCTCAAGATATTCCTGTTTGAATATCTAACGTGAAAATAGAGAATTCTCCTGCGAGAAAGATAGTGACCCGAGTCTGCACTAAAAAATTTCAATTTTTGGCTTAGTTTTTGTGATTTTTTTTTCTTAGTTCATACTTTTAGTCATGTCAGAATTCCTGGCATTCATTAGTTTTTGAGTTAGACTTGGAAATCTCTTTTGACCAACTAGATTACTGCCAGTTTTTATTCTATAAAATGATTTTTTCTCACTTTGTCTCCTACATCAAAGTTGTAGTCCTAGACGCGTAGATGATTTTGGGCTTTTGAATCGCTTGATTTCGATATCAGAAGCTCAAGATATTCCTGTTTGCATATCCAACGTGAAGGTAGAGAATTCTACTGCGAGAAGGATATTGACCCGAGTCTGCACTTCGTTCAAATTATATTTTTGGCTTAGTTTTTTGTGATTTTTGTACTTAGTTCATACTCGCAGTCATTTCAAGATTCCCGACATTCGTCAGTTTTTGAGTTAGACCCGGAAATCCCCTTTGACAACCTAGATTACTTTTGAGTTAGACCTGGAAATTCCTTTTGACCAACTAGATTACCGCTAGTTTTTGTTCTATAAAATGATTTTTTCTCACTTTGACTCCTTCATCAAAGTTGTAGTCCTGGACAGGTGGATGATTTTGGGGAATCCCTTGATTTTGATATCAGAAGCTCAAGATATTCCTGCTTGAATATCTAACGTGAAGGTAGAGAATCTATCGCGAGAAGGATATTGACCCGAGTCTGCACTAAAAGATTTATCTTTTTGGCTCAGTTTTTGTGATTTTTGTTCTTAGTTCATACTCCCAGTCATCTCAGGATTCTCAACATTTGTCAGTTTTTGAGTCAGACCCGGAAATCCCTTTTGACAACCTAGATTACTACTAATTTTTGTTCTATAAAATGATTTTTTCTCACTTCGACTCCTTCATCAAAGTTGTAGTCCTAGATGCGTAGATGATTTTGGGCTTTTAAATCGCTTAATTTCGATATCAGAAGTTCAAGATATTCCACTTTGAATATCTAATGTAAATATAGAGAATTCTGTCGCGAGAAGGATATTGACCCGATTCTTCACTAAAAAATTTCCATTTTTAGCTTAGTTTTTGTAATTTTTATTCTTAGTTCATACTCTCAGTCATGTTAGGATTCCTAGCATTCATTAGTTTTTGAGTTAGACCAGGAAATCCCTTTTGACAAAATAAATTACTCCTAGTTTCTTTTGACAAAATAAATTACTCCTAGTTTCTGTTCTATAAAATGATTTTTTTCCACTTCAACTCCATCAAAGTTATAGTACAAAATGCGTAGATGATTTTGGGCTTATGAATCACTTGATTTTGATATCAGAAACTCAAGATAATTGAGTTAGACGTGGAAATCCCTTTTGACAAACTAGATTATTGCCAGTTTCTGTTCTATAAAATGATTTTTTCTCACTTCAACTCATTCATCAAAGTTGTTGTCCCGTATGCATAGAGTAACAAGATCATTTTCAATGTTGACCCTGTAGTTGTGAAGGAACTCAGGAGCATCTTCATCCTTAAAATAGGCTTTTTGGAATTTTTTTCTTAAAGCAAGTATTCAAACAATATATTGACTATAATGTTAAAAACAAGTTGCAGCCATGCTGGTAAAAATAGCACTTGTAATTTCAATTCACCAAGCAACCATATAGATATATATATAGATTGATAGATAGATAGATATATAGACAACAGACTTGCACCAGCCAACTACATATATATATATATATATAGACAGCAGTCTTACACCAACCGTACATGGATAATAGCATTTGCAACATAATATTTTGATAGGGTCCCAAATCAGTCATGGCGGTCCAGGACCCCATACTGAGTCAAATGAGTTGCCAGTGTAACCTTACATAGGCTTTCTGTAATTTCAATTCACCGAGCAACTATATATATATATATAGACAGCAGTCTTACACTAGCCGTTCATGGATAATAGCATTTGCAACATAATATTTTGATAGGGTCCCAAACCAGTCTTTGACATGTAAGGTTACACTGGCAACTCACTTGACTCAGCATTTGGCTCCTGGGCCTGGCAAACTGCTTGGCCTTGGCGAACTGCATTGCAAAGCGATTCACGGAATTGTAACAATTCCCCGTGTAAAGTATATGCAACCCATATAAATAACACCACCCACGCGGAAAGAAATAACCACCAAACTCTTGGGACAGGGATTATGAGTAGCAGAGCAAAGGCGAGAGCTCTGGCCAGAAGACTTGCACCGGCAGCAATTGAGTGGAAGTGACCAGCTGCAAGTTTAACTTCCCATGCACTACTTACAATATGGACGAGCACAGCAACAACAGACATTGTTATGATAGCATCATGCGTGCTAGATGGAGAGAGAGTTTCAGATTTCAATTGGATAATGGCAGCCAGTGCTCCAATAGCAGAGAAAAACCAACCATGTCTGTCCATTCCCCTATCAAATTAAAAACAAAAACTGCTTTAGACCACAGAAACAATTAAGAAATGTATAAAGTTAAACTAAAAGAGTAATCAGCATGAAAACAAATGCTGCAACAAATTGCAGTGTTAGTTTTGAAGGGGAAGTGAAGGGAGGGGCGGGGTTGGAACCCTTCACCATGCATGCCACATGATCCGAGCCAAACAAAAGCCCATAAACCAACATAGTCGATTCAAAGAATGAAAACCACTTATTCTGGTTTTATCCCATATACCACTGCAACTTGATGCAGTTGCAGAGCATGCAGCCATAGTACTGTCAAACTAACATTCGCATCTACCCAAATGTAAAACTTGGGCATTAATGTTTCAAGTAAAAGATCAAAATAACCTTACTAGAGATCTATGTACCAGCAGCAAGGGTTGAAGAGAGGAGCTGTGGCTTGCCAAATCTCATTGATCACGACACGCAGAGAAGAGATGGGCTTGTGAAAGCACCTATAGGTAATGGGCTGTTTAAGGATAAAATTTTTAACATTTGTAAGTCAGTCCAAGAATTCTGGACCAAATTGCAACCTATTTGGATGCTAGTGAATATTTCATCCTTGAACATAACTTTGCAGATATTATGAATCATGATGTTAAAAGAGGGGCCCAGACACATTGCAAACGTGCCTTGTAATTCTAAGAAGACAGCCACCAGATATGAAGTGTTTTGTCACTAGACTTTCCAGCTTGAAGGAGGAGATGCTAAGATTCATATGACAGGTGCTGAGTCAGGAATGGAGGATAACACTGAACCAGAATCAATGACAAGGAAGGAAATGGTAGCGGGAGATGCTAAGATTCATATAACAGGTGCTGAGTCAACAACGAAGCATAACACTGGACTAGGATAAATGACGAGGAAGGAAATGGTTGCAGGAGATGCTAAGATTCATATGACAGGTGCCGAGTCAGGAATGAAGGATAACATTGAGCAAGTATCCATAGCAAGGCGGGAAGGGGTTGCATCGGAGTGATACATGTGTTATTGCAGTTCTTGTAACTATAATATAATGTGTCTGTTAAGAGGGTTTGTAGTTTGTTTGGGTAGCAGTTATAATCAGGGGATAAACAGTTCACGTGGGTAAACTTGTGTTTGTGTAAATAGGAAGCAAAGATAAAATGCTTCTTTTTTGTATTCATTATGATTTCTTCCTGAATTCTTTGTAATTATTCTATTTCTTTAATAATGCTTCTTTTTCATATCTCATCTTTCCTTCTCTCAGTCTTTTCTTCAAACACTTCACCTACCTTACACATTCCATCAAATACTTGATGGTATTAATCCTTCTCTGCTCTCCTATCTCTGGATAATTCAGCTACTGAACTTAACTCTAGATTCTTTTGAGCTCTAAACCACAAAACCCCCAATTTCTTAAACCATAGCTTCATTTATGGGACACGGACTAAGATCTACCATTGTCACATGTATCTAGACAAGAAATCTCAACAATTCCTAACCAGAAAAGGACTACAGACATGAACCCATGAATAAAAAACAAATTCACTTAGCAATTGAGCTTTATGACTCAAAATAGAAATTCAAAAGCAAAAAACTTACTTATAAGGTTCTTGAGATACAGCAAAGAGGTTGTCTCACAAGATCTCTCGGCAGCTTGCAGTTTTGTGAGCAAGATTGTTTATGTTTTTTTTTTCTTATTTTATAAATCAGAGATTGTTTAGGGTTTTAATATGCTATGGTATTTCTCTAACTCAATTGAGTGCTTGACTTTGTAATGACTTGTGTTGGGCTTCTGTGCACCACTCATTTAGTTATGCTAAAAATTTAATTGTTATTCAAATAATAGTAGGTAGTGAATAAAGAATATGAATATTGAAATTTATGAACAGACAGTAAAAAATTTGACAAAAAAAATAAAGAATTTCAAGATTAAGATAGAGGCAGACCAAACTTCTAATCCGGATTTCAGATGATACATTAATTGGATTGCCATGCTATCATACAATTTCTACCAAGGAATTATTGTTTAGTGGAAAGAAAGTGAGAAACAGAACACATAAAAGGAGTGTTTAATAAAGTTGAAATAATTTGGAAAAGGCTTACTGCAAAGAAGACCAATTATTGAAGATTTATTGAGGACCATGAGAGAGGAAACTATCTACCAAGTCATTAAGAAAATGTAAGTATACTTGAAATTGAATATCAAAATATAATAATAGATGAATTCGATAAACCAAGAAAAAGGCGGTATTGTCTTAGTCATAGAAGAATAGATATAATCATAGTCGTGCCTTTGATCTCAATTGCAATTTGAGCATCACTAAAATTTAGACCACAACAAAATTGATGGAACTATAGATTCGAACCTGTTTGATATTGTAGTGGTGGTTGTTTTTCAAAATGCTTTTTATTTGGGAATGCATCAAAATAATGTTTTTTTAAAAAAATATTTTTGACATTAGTACATTAAAACAATCTGAAAACACCAAAAACAAAATTAATTTGAAGCAAAGAAAAAAAAATTAAAATTCAATTTTTTTTAAAAGCGCTATTGAAATGCAAAAACAAACAGGCTAAAAAGGAGGAGCTAACAAAAAAAGAAAGAAAACAAAGATGAGGGGTATTTTCTTTCAAAATTCAGGGTTCTTGACATAAGTTCCAGATTAGTAATCTCCTGATGAATCAGATTAGCACAAAGGATATGTTGGTGCCAGCTCATTAAAAGCATGTTCCTTTCCAGCCACTTGATCAGCTTAAAACAGCAAACCTCAACATTTGAAAATCCTACTCCCTCTATGGCATTAACAATGGCCCTTCCGCCAAAAAAAAAAAAGGTTTAAGGAAGCACCAACAGTCTATTAATTAGAGTTGGCTTTAGCATGCTATTCTTTTTTCAACCGTAAGGTGTCTTAACTACTATGCATTCTTGTATTAAAAATTCAAGCAAATAATGATAAATTTCATCATTAAATTAGAACACAAATTTCATAAATCAATTTAAATAAAGTGAATTTGAGTACATAATGATTTATATCAAAGCACACAAAAAAACAGTCAAGGTTTTACCTGATAAAGGAGAGATCATAATTTGTGATGAGAATCTCACTTTAACCTGCTACCTTTTTTTTTTCAAATAAATTCTGCATAAAAGAACAAAAAAGATATGAATAGAATTGAATTTGAAAAGAACAATAAACAGAAAGGATTTTAAGTTCGCAATTTTCTCCAGATAAATGAATTTGGGAAAACAAAATCCACCGATTACCTTGCATCTTTAGATCTGGCAATAGATAGGGAAATGTGATTTCCTGGCACAAGGACACGCAATAGCACAGAGTTTCCACCCTAGTATCTTTAGCCATCATCAATTGTCTTCTCCAGCATCCCAATAAATTCAAGAGAACAAAGAGACTCCATTAGTCAAAACTTTTATCTTCATCAAATTTATGAAATTTATGCATGTGCCAATTCAAAAGCTGAAAGACATTAAGGAGATTGGAGATCACAATCCACATGTATCTAACAAATTATCTGAACAGACACCCAAAAGGGCAGTATTTTTTTAGGAGAAACGAGCCAAAGTTGAATTTCCAATACCTCTCTAGAACAAACACAGAACTGTTCAATGACTGGTATCACAGGGACTAGACCTTTGACACTGGCATGGCAGATTACAGATTCGAGCAAACAAAACAACCAAAATCCCATAAACAAATTAAATAAACCAAATAGCCATCATACCATAACTTCGACCTTGAAAGTAGAGAGTTTTCTTAACAGCACATAAAATAAACTGATACATAGCAGCTCTTCTTCTTTTTTCTTCATTCTAGCACGTTCAAGTCCTCTTTTGTAGGTGGGAGTTCCTGTCATGTATAAAACAACAGACAGACAAACACACAGCGACGGGAAAATAGAGAGAACCGATCTGTTACAGATCTACCAAACCAGAAAACCAAATTAAAAAAAAAATCAAAAGGATAATTAAATAAATCAAATAACCACCGTAACTTTAAACCTGGGAAATAGAGAAGATTTGAACAGAACATCTAATAAACAATAGATTTAAAACAGAAATAGCCGTCTAAAAAAGAGAGAAATACCACTTTAAAGAGAGAGAAGATTAAGCAGTCTTTGCTGAGAGAAGAGAAAACCGATACCGTTTTCCAAATCTATCATTTGTAAGCCAGAATGTTAGTAGATGGGCCTACATAAAGCTGTTGATTTCACTGTAGAAGTACACAAACAGCCGACCACATTTTTTCAAACCCTCGCTTTATACAGGGGATGGGCCAAACCGTGTGTAGGGGATGGGCCAAACCGACACTAAAGTACTTCGACCTGCAAAATAGAGAAATTTCTTAACATCACATCAAATAAACAACGAATCCATGCATCTCCTCTCCTCTTTCTTCGAGCCAGGGATTTCATTGAGGTGTGAGATGACAGAGACGAAAATATCACCGTTTGCTTCCAGGTGAGAGTTCTGCCATGAATAAAACAGCAGAAAAAGATAAAGAGTCAGTTGCTTGAAAATAGAGAGAACCATATATTCATGGCAGATCTGTTACGGATCCAAACAAACCAGAGAACCAAACACCCAACAACAAACTAAATCAATCAAAAGGATAACCACCGCACCTTCAACCTGGAACATAGAGAAAATTTCGAACAGCACATCGAATAAGCAGCAGATTTAAAACAGAAGAGAAGAAACCCATTGTGCATCGTGGTGACTCCCTTTGGAGAGACGAAAAACAGGAAAATCATGGTGGGTATCGATCCGAAATGCTTTAAAAAAAAATAGAAAAAGAAAAAATGAAGACGAGAGTTATCCCGAAACCCTTT